TGCCATATAATGCCCGGGTCTATGTAAAATACAGGCAAAAATATGAGGATGGTTATTGAGGTCATCGCCTGGCGTCGCATGATGCATAAGAAGGTGGCGACCGTGAAACGCTAACTGCAATTGTCACAAGATATCAGAGCCCAAAAGCGAAGAAAACCAAGAAAAAATGAAGTCTTTTTTCTTCTTCTATTCAACTCCCCCCTGTTCATCAGCTCTTGCGTACAAGGCCGCCCACGTGGATGTAGGTTGAGCGGCGGCTGCCCCCACCCCCGCGTGTCATATTACCTCACATATTTGTATTGGCTTTCTGCCATGTCATCATGGAACATATATCTTTGTCATCTTTCAATACCTACCTACCACTTCTCCTAAGGTTATACAGGGGACCCCTGCAAGCATAGCTTTCTACCTCTCTTCGGTGAATCTTCGGTGAATTTTCGGTGAATGGAGGTTACCTCTCAGAGATTCCGGTTGGTCCAGTCGCGATAGTATATGGTGGGTGAAGACACCACTTCTCGTCAATCTAAGAAAAAAAAAAAAAAAAAAAAAAAAAAAGAGCATACTCAGTCTAGGCCCTCAAACTCGCAAAATCACAAAAATGAGCGGCCAGATCGAGTCCTTGTAAAGGACGGACTAGATCTGGCCGCTCATTTTGGGATTTTGCGCTTTTGAGCGCGCCTAGTGTGAGTGCTCCCTAACTCCGACAGCAGCATGATTTTGCAGAAAACAGAATCAAAACGTATTTCAGTAAAAACCTGTATCAAAAATCGTCGTTCTTTTCTCTTTTTATCAGTCTTAATAGCAGCCTTTTAACTCCTCCAGACATTTGATTTCCATTTTTGTGTGTTTTACCTGTTTATGGTGTGATAGAATTAGCTATATTTTATGCTTTTATTTGGCATCGATCACTGAAAATGAAGATACTCCTAAAGAGGGACCACCAGAAACTCGGCTCACCATATTGGCAGTAGTCTGCAGTGAAGATCTGTCCGGTAAGTGAGTATGGGCGGGGAAACACCATCAAGTGCAACAACAGCATCTAAAGTCAAAAACGAAAACAAAGTTGAATCTAAGGATGCATTTAAGGATGCACAAGGATGCATTTAAGGATACATAAGGATGCATTTAAGGATGCATAAGGATGCATTCACGGAAATATGCATCTCAGGAATGATACATGACCACAACAGTACATACCTACGCAGAATGAAGATGCACAACCCCCGAGCACACGGTGTGTGGGTGGGGTTTGGTCGCACAGCATGAGAAGAAAAAGGGAGCAAAAAGAAGAGCTACAAGGAAGAAAGATGAAGATGGCTGGAAGAAGCATATGGCCAATCCCGACAAAAGCATAGCATAGTCTCTGACTGAATATCAGCTTACATGTACATTGCCCACGAAATATGAGCCAGCACAGAAACACCTATATCCAATTCCAGATCTGTTAGAAAACAAGACCGACAAGAAAGATAAAAGTTTTCCAAGACAAAGATAAAGCAGCAAAGGAGAGTGTCTACACGCATCAGAAACGCCAAACAAAACAGCACGCGGACAAAAAGCTGTGAGGTCAAGAAACGTGTGTCGATCGAACACAGACAGGACGCTGGATGTCTCTGCCAAGGTCCGGATTCTAGACAAAGAAAACAGAGAAGGATGGCCCTAAAGACGACAGCAGACTCATTGCAAAGGCCAGAAGATAAGACCGGCGCACGCACACACACACACTCACGCACGCACACACACACACACACACACACACACACACACACACACACACACACACACACACACACAGAGGCCCTGGACTGTAGGAACATTTGCCAGACACCAAATGGGGGACAAGCTGTTAGGAACAACGACCGGGACTGCCTGCGGCCAACGGACCCATAACATAACAATGTAGGATCACATCGCCTGACCATAGCTTCAGTTAAACGGCGGAGATGCACAGCAAGCACTGGAAGCGGGGTTGGGCTTCAACAAATAGTCCGATGGAGAAAATGAGATCGAAGCGTCATCAGGCCGACAGATGGGCCAATTTAAGGGAGAGAGGCAAAATTATTTCCTCGAATTCACTTCCACAGATAAGGATAAAGTTGATGGAGCCGGTAATTAGTCTGTCGACTAGAGTGGAAAAGAAGCTTGAACAAGCCAGTAGTAAAACGGGAAACAGACGGGGGTGAGCAACAGAGGGAAGATTTTTCTCTCTCTCTCTCTCTCTCTCTCTCTCTCTCTCTCTCTCTCTCTCTCTCTCTCTCTCTCTCTCATATATCGCTGTCCTTATCCCTCTCCTCGGTGCGTTCTTAAACCGCTCCAATCTCTCATGGCATTACAAGTGACCGGTACGGCGTTCAGATGCCTAGCACCACAGCCACTTCCTCCTCCTCCTCCTCCTCCTCCTCCTACTGCAGCTGCTTCTGCCACTGTTATTCGATGTGTTATTCCCGGTTTCGCTTGCATGTAGAAATAACTTGTCATCGCAAGCAGACGGTTCGGTAAATCTGTCGCACGCAGTTCGGTTCGGTAAATCTGTCGCACGCAGTTAGGTTCGGTAAATCTGTCGCACGCAGTTAGGTTCGGTAAATCTGTCGCACGCAGATAGGTGCGGTAAATTCGTCGCACGAAGTTAGGTGCGGTAAATTCGTCGCACGAAGTTAGGTTCGGTAAATCTGTCGCACGCAGTTAGGTGCGGTAAATTTGCCGCACCCAGATAGGTGCGGTAAATCTGTCGCACACAGTCACAGGTTCGGTAATCTGGGGCGTACACTCCGACTCGGTTTGACAAACTTCGGTTCGGTTAATGCGGACGCAGAACAACACTCTCCAAGCAGCAACATTAAAGGGACGAGGATGATTTAAAACAGCAGAAGAAGGTAGGGTTAAGAAAGCGCAAGAGTAGGAGAAGATAGGGTTAAGGAAGAGGGAGACCAGAAGAAAATTGGGTTAAGGAGGAGGGAAGACTAGGAGGGAGACAAAGAACAGCGCGTACTCACAATTGCCACACAAAAACTGCTGACTCAGAGTCCATGTGCGGAATGAAAGAAAGAGACGACAGAGGAAGCGTAGACATAACGTAATAAAGCAACGTTATCAATCTGCTTACTTCTGATTCATTTTATTCTGCATTCTTTTTTTTCTTTTCTTTTTCTTTGATCAAAATTCGGACTTGCACGTCGGGGGGCAAGGAGAGACGCAGAAGTGCACAATTCCACAACAAAAGGAGCGGGGGAGGGAGGAAAGATTTGAAGAGAATGGGGGGAGGAGGGGAGAGAGTAATGGAGGGAGGGATGCAGAGAGACGGAAAAATAGAAGGGAAACAGAATTCAAGAGACAGCAGATGGAAGAGGGGGAGGAGTAGAACGAGACAAGGTACACGATACAGGCGCAAGTCAATGACAGACAAGGAACGTAACAGCGCAGGTGAGGGATAGAGAGATTGGCGTGGCGGGAAAGGGGAGAGAGAGAGAGAGAGAGAGAGAGAGAGAGAGAGAGAGAGAGAGAGAGAGAGAGAGAGGAGGCATCCTTTGGGAGGTGGGGGTGAGATAGGTCAGGGGAAAGAAATAATTTCGCGAGAGCAATTCGGAGAAGATGAAGGGCAGAAATTGGGAGGGAGGAGAGGAACTAAGGGATTATGAGAAAGAGACACGTGGCATTTTTGTGAGCTACAGTGGATTGCTCCACGTGTCATGCAAACGAACTGCCAACAACATACAAGAATATTTTTCAATCATCGTCTCTTAAACAGGGTGAGAGCATCACAGAACCATCGACCCGTGCCCTACCTCCTCTCTTCTTGCGAATGAGAAGAGCGCACAACGGGCCAATGCCTAAACCTAAACACGAAATAGGAAATCAAAACTGTTTTCCCTGGCCCTTTGATCCGCCGATCGAACAAGGTGACCTGTTCTCGAACACCGTCTCCTCAAGCTGTCAAAGGCCATACTCACACGTACCTTTTGGATAAAATCTGACTGTAACGCCGGCCAGGTTCATCTCAGAAAACCTACTGGTAGGTAGTATGCCCTGAGCCAATCTTTGAATAAACTCAAAACAATACGGCGTTCCCCTTTCCTCCTCCTCCTTCCCCCTCATCCCCAATCGTCCGGTTTCATAAGGTACCCGGCCAACATGCATGGACAGGTGACCGAAACCAATGTCCATCCAATCATACAAACAAACCCAACGTCGGTCACCTGTCGATCAAGAAGAAGGCGAGAATCTCTCTCACTCTCACTCTCTCTCTCTCTCTCTCTCTCTCTCTCTCTCTCTCTCTCTCTCTCTCGCGAGAAAATGGTCACATCTATCTCACTCCATCCCTGCCTGACGACTGTCTTTTCTTCGTCATCCATCTTTCCCCTATTTGTTCACCGCTCGATCTAGTTAATCCCCTCCTTCTGATCTGCCGTCCCTGCTCTCTCTTTTCAATTATCTACCATTCGAAATCATTTCCCACCTCCCTCTCTCCCCTCGTTCTCTTGATCTCTCTCCCTTCTCTCATCCCTCTCAACACAAACACACACCATTGTCCACCACCATCCTCTCAGTCGAAGAACACTTCACGATCTATCAGTCGAAGAACACTCAAATGCTTTTAGCCAACGTACACTCAAAGTTTACGTCCACGAGTTTCACCTTCCCCTGACGGTGCGTGCCGAACAGTCTCTCTCTCTCTCTCTCTCTCTCTCTCTCTCTCTCTCTCTCTCTCTCTCTCTCTCTCTCTCTCTCTCTCTCTCCCTCTCTCTCTCTCTCTACATTCCCTCCCTCCTCCTGGGAGCGCACTTCACGATCTGATCGACGCGAAGGATCATCTCTGCCGCCTCAGTCGCCGAGAGAAGCACCGACTGCTTGACCTTGAACGACTCATAGATACCTAATTTTTCCATGTCTGCCACTCCACACGAAACTACGTCGATTCCAGGAGCCAACATTCTGTCTTCATCGCCCTCCTCCTTAAAGTGCTCTGCTCTCATCTGCGCAACGAGGTCAGCACTGTCTAGCCCTGCATTCTCCGCTATGATGCTAGGAATCGCCCTAAGCGCCGTCGCGAAGGACTCCATAGCCAACGACTTCTTCCCAGGAGTCTTCTTCCCCAACTCGTCCACGTGTCTCGCCATCATCACCTCCGGCCATCCCCCACCCCAAATCACTCTACTATCGACCACAGCCTGAGTCAAGACACACAGAGCGTCGTGAAGTGACCTCTCCGCTTCGTCTAGCAAATGCGAACTTGCCCCTCTCAGGACGATCGTGCACGCTTCCCCCATAGCCACACCAGAGAAATGAATGAGCTTGTCCTCTCCGATCATTATCTCCTCGATTACCTTGCACTCACCCAGTTTCACGGACTCCGGATTGTCGAAGGTCGATGCAATCTCTCCTCCCGTCACCAGTGCCAGCCGATCGATTCCGTCGAAATCCGCATGTTCGATGGCCATGACTCCGGCGTCCGCGAAGATTTCTTCTGGCAGATTATATATCAATTGCCTGTTAATAAAGCAATTGATCCCGTGCGCGATGATCTTCCTACACTTCTCTCTCATCTTCTCCTTCTCCGCCGCCTCGATCTCCGCCACCTTGCCCATTCCGTCGACGCGGACGCGAGCGCCGTAGATCTTGATCTTGTCGACATCCATGGCCGTGTTCGCCACCAAAATCTTCGCATTCTCGATCCTCTTCGGCTGACCGACTCCAATCTTCTTGTCCAGGATGAACCCCTCGTCAAGGAACGAGTCTTTCAACGACCCCCCCGGTTTCTTGATGATCTGGATGGAAGCCAAGTTAGTGCTGCCCTTCAGACGGAGGACTGCATCGACGGCCAGCTTTGCAAAATGGTCTTTGTCCTGTGATACGATCTTGGAACTCAGCGTGGTTTTGGCAATCCGGATCAGATCTTCGTGAAATTTGGCAGGATCGCCTGAGTTGTTTCGCGCCATTGCCTCCAGCGCTGCTCTCCCGCACTCCGCCGCCTTTCTATACCCATCGATGATTGTCATGGGATGGATCTTCTTGTTCATCAGCCGCTCCGCTTCGCGCAGCAGTTCGCCGGCAAGCACGACGACAGACGTCGTGCCATCGCCAACCTCGTCGTCCTGGACCTTGGAAATGTCGACAAGTACCTTGGCAGCAGGATTGTCCACGTGGAGCGATTTCAGAATCGTCGCACCGTCGTTGGTCACCATCACCTCTTTCTGCCTCCCGGTGGACTGCAGAATCTTGTCCATGCCCTTGGGACCGAGCGTCGTTCTCACCAAATCAGCTACGGCGATGGCGCCAACGAAGGACGCCATGCGAGCACGATCACCCTTCTCCTCCACCGCGTCATCTTGCAGAATCCTCGGGCCAGCCATAGCTGAGAGCTTCGATAACGCAACCTTGAGCACGTAGAGATGGCAGCCAACGCGGCGTGGGCGGGGACGGGGGCGGGGGCGGGGGCGGCGGCGGCGGCGGCGGCCGCTGCTGTGGCAATCAGGCTATTTATTCCCTGGGTACTACCGTGCAGCTCGATCGGTACTCCAAAGTTGCAGGCAGACCGCCAAAACTGGACTGCACACCCTTTCTTCCCTTTCCCCCACGTCGTGCTCCCTCTGCCTCCTCCTCGATCTCTCCTGATTGCCTTCGCCCTCCCTCCCTCCCTCACTCACTCACTCCTATCCACCCTCGTCCGTGTCAGCAACCCGCTGATACCGCCCAAGATGCCGCTGTGACAGCCTTGAGAAGTCCTTGGCACGCACTAGCTTTGAAAACACGTGGCAACATGAGCGCGCAAAGCTGCTGCCGGCTTAACGAGCAGATCGTCACCGTGACTTGGTGATTAGCAGTGCTGACGCTGGTCGCCGTGGGAGGCAAGTGCTCGTAAGGTAGTCCCCTCCCCTCCCCTCCCTCTCCCTGCCCCCAGGCCTCTCTCGCACCAGGCAGATACAACTGCCAAACCAAGACTGCGCGAAGGTCGACCTCAAAATCAGAGAGATGCCACGACGCGACACAAGTGCTGCCGGAAGGTCCCTCCCTAAGGGCCTCGCAACACCACTCTCGAAATGTGAAAATGACAAAAAAGTGGCCGGCGCACCTGGCCATGTTCTACCCCGGAAGTTCATTCTCATTTTGCACATTCCGAGAGTGGTGTGGCGATACCCGTAGCCGTGGACGCCGCTAGGTTGTAGTTAGGGTCAGATCCCAATACCCTGGATTATTCATTTTTTACCCTCGATTACGAAGATCAACGGTCAGAAATGAACAATAGGGGCCAGTGGGATCTGGCCCTTAGTGTTAGTGCCCTGACTACCGGTATTACGCCCCTGCTGCCTGTCTATCGATAGTCCACGAGATAGACGTCCGCAGGTCCCACAGTCCGCAAGCATGCATTTCCCGCGGTTTCGCTCCAGCTTTTCAGAAGCGGCCAGGCCGGTATCCACATCGCTGCCCTGGCGTCGTTCCCAAATCCCCCGAACATAAAGCACGGCATTCGTATTCGAGTTTTCGAAAACAATCGCTTCTGAAAAGATTCAAGACTGACCATTCTTTTCGAAGACAAGGAAGTTTGAATAGGAGGCAGATGGGCTGTACTCGAACTAAACGTACCTAGTTTCTATTCCGATTTTTGAAGAACGAAACTACTGTATTCGAATTTTCAGACAAGGAAGTTTGAATAGGAGGCAGATGGGCTGTACTCGAACTAAACGTACCTAGTTTCTATTCCGATTTTTGAAGAACGAAACTACTGTATTCGAATTTTCTTTTTCGTTACTACTGTGGTCTATGGAAGAGGTGCCAAAGAAACCATTCTTTTGGAGGCCTGGACCGGAGCGCCGCCGCTGGCGCTAATTTTGTGCTCGGACCAGGCACGGTCCGCCGGCAACGGAAGGAGTGTCCTGGCAAAAGGCGCCGAGATAGCACCTTAACAGAGGTCATGTCCGTCACCATTTACATTGTCGAAATGGTCATGGCATCAGCTATGGAGGACATGACCGCAGGCATCCGGTATCCAGACCCAACTTAGAATGCAGTACAACAGAGAAGGAAGAAGGACAAGTAGAAGTAGAGAGTAGTAGCTAAGGACAGGAGTCAGGAGCATAGGAGAAACGGAAACAATTAGGGTTGACATCAAGAGGGACAAGCGACCCGAAGAACGCGAAAGACGTGTGAGCATGATGGCAGAAGTGGAAGAAGAAAAAGGGAGATCTCGCTCCCCACCTTCGGGACCAAAACAACCGATGGACGAAGATGAAGACAGAATCCGGTAGCTAGCACGGCTTTGCTACGACGAAGGCATCCTATTAGGGTTAATCGACCCTGGAGAGATGACGATAAACAGAAGAGAAGTAACCGTCAAGGTAAATAACCGCATAGACAAAACGAATGTGGAGTGGTTGAAAGAACACACGATTACAGTGATCTTTCGAGAGGGAGCGAGCCTTTTTCCTAAAAAGGTGAAAGATGATGTAGTAAGAGCCTATGAAAATGAACGTCTCCAGGGTGGAAGCTTCGATCCAAGTACCTTTCGGAAGGCCAAGGTGAAAATAGAAAGTCCGAACACCATTTCATGCGTGGCGAAGAGGAACATAGTGAGGCAATGGCTGATAGCGAAAAGCGGAGATGAGATAACTTGAGGTCCTACGAGGTATGTCCTGAAGTTAAAAGTCTAGCTAACATGTGCTCAACTGAAGAAGCAACGAAGTCAGGGGGAGGCGGTGAATTTTTGGGTAATAGTAGTGCACGTACCGCTGGACGCGGTGCTCTATCTAAAAGCACAAATCACTAAGGTGATCAGGCCAGTAACCCTTGCACACCCTCTAAAGCCAGACAGCCAAAAACCAACACTCATTAAACCTCAGGTCCTCCTGACGTCAGAAAACCTCAGGGGTACCAATAGCGCCGTTTCACAATGGGTACCGGTAGTATAGTGTGGAAAATTGGTCCTCCTGACATCAGAAAACCTCAGGGCCTCAAAAATGAAATTTGCAGAAAATAATTAGAAATAAACCGAATCGGCACGGTTAATATTTCATGGTGAAAATGATTTTTTTTTTTCCTGATATTTTTCCCTGAAAGATCACGACCTAATCTACGGACCCTCAAATTTTCAGACATTTTGGTGAATTTTTCTGAGCACAAAAAACCGGGAAAGTTGTCGCTTGCAAAATGGTGGGATTGGACTCGTCGGCCCCTCCGTACAACCCGGCATCTCCGTACGGTCGCCACCCCTCCGTACAACCCGGCCCTCACGCACAAGGACTAGGGGTTTTCCGCGGCGGGGGACCGGTGGTTTAATCTCAAGTTCAACCTGATTTTGACTGCAAGACCAAACATGAAGGACAATATATCATTCATAACCTTCGAAGTCGACACTCTAGTGGTAGACCTAACACCATCAAAGACACCAAGATGCAGAAGATGTGAAGTCTTCTTCAATGAAGATAATCAATGCGGAAGGAATCGCCAGAATCAGCAAGGCAGTACACAAGGCAGACAAGCAAGCGCTCAAGAGTCATCGGGGATGCAGCCAAAGTATAGGGGTCCGCTAGGACCAAGGCCAAGCATAGGAGAGCAAAGACCAAAGATGGCATGAGATAATCAAGGCTTCGCTGCTACCAGCAACTTGAACTACCATAATCTAACATACTCACCAGGCATGCAAGGAAGACAGCCTCTCTTTCTCCTCCGACCTTCGCAGCTCGGAGCGCCGTCCGCTATGGCCCAACTCTCTCTCTCTCTCTTTCTCTCTCTCTCTCTCTCTCTCTCTCTCTCTCTCGGAATCTGTTGACCTCACAGAGCGCGGTACACGTGGCGGTCTGTCGGATGGTCGCGACGTCAAGGAATGCCGTACACACATGTGTAAACAGCAATCCCACCAGTCACACACACACACACACACGATGTGTACGGACGACCTTGGGAGAGAGAGAGAGAGAGAG